AAAAAAAAAAAAAAAAAAAAAAGAAAAGCAAGGCTGAAGGAGCCCGAGCAGTGAGGTAGGCAGCAGTGTCATTTGTGAGGTTGAGGGAGAAGTGAAGAGATGCAGATTTGGAGAGGATAATCAATAACTTTATTTTGGACATTTCAAAGGCTTATAAAACATCTGAGCACATGTTCAACAGACAACTGGAAATATGAGACTTGTGCTTATGGAAGAGACTGGGGCTAAAAACATTTGGGAGCCATCAACATATTATGGGGCACAGGACACTGTAACAGAACAAGAGGGAAAAAAACTGATGTGGCTCTTTTTGTTAAAAAAAAAAATAGATATGTACGTAGGTGGGTACATGTGTCTTCAACTGCAAGGAGCTTAAATAGGTTGAACATTCAGCTTTGGGCTCAATTTCTCACCCAAACCCTAAAAAAAAGCTTCTTCCTCTTCTCTGCCTCAGGACTCCCATTTATAAACTAATAGGATAATAGCACCACCCAAAGGCTAACTGAGAGACAAGTGCTCACTGTCTTCCAGAGAGTCCAGGGGCCTCTGCAGGACACTTTCCCAGTCTCCAAAGAAAGTTACTCTCCAGTGGTTATTAAAGATCTGCAAGGAAACTGTGCAGCTGTCTTTTTTTGACAGCCTATCATAAGATTCCTAAAACTATTGGTAAAAAGTACATGATAAATATTAAAGAGTTTTCTAAGTGTAAAAAAGGGCTGAATTATTTTTGCACAATCTTAGAAGCCATCTATCACTGGTGGATAAACAGACATATTTCAATGGAAATGTCCTTTATACGAGGTAAGGAGATTTCATTCTATCTCACTGAGAAAAGTTTGGTCATCCAGCAGAGGCTGGGTCCATGCCACAGTGTCCCTTAAGCACTGAGTAGGATCCCATAATTCCCATGTCCAACTAAAAGGTCTGAAATAATAGAGAAGAAATATATAAGGAGATAGGGATATTTCCAAAAGGCATATTACAAAAAAGAAAAGAAAATATGCTATTTATGGTATTTATGCTAAAAAAAATATATGCTATTTAGGTCATGATCTATAGTTCATGAGTTTGAGCCCCACATCGGGCTCTGTGCTGAAAGCTTGGAGCCTGGAGCCTGCTTCGGATTCTGTGTCTCCCTCCTCTGCCCCTCTCCTGCTTGCACTCTGTGTCATTCTCTCTTTCTCTCTCTCTCTCAAAAATAAACATTAAAAAAAATTTTTTTTAATTCTAGAGAAAACCCAAGGTTGGGATCCTGAGCCAAACAATCCCATAATAAAGGCAGAGAGAACTGGAAAGAGAGAATCCGCCGTTTACCGGATCGTTTCTTTGACTTCGAAGAGCCCTTGGATGACTTTTTGGGCTTCTTTATCCGTTGGTATTTCAGAGCCTCCAGCCTCTCAGGTGCAGCAGCATGCCCAGGTGCAGGTGGATGTGTTCTGGAAGGGACAATTAGAGAGGCACAGGTCAGCTCCCAGAAAAGGAAGCTTTTGAAGAGGGGCTGGAAGAAAACCACATAGCCGACCCACAGGAGGACAGAGTACAGTTCTATGGAGTCCCAGGTATCCACAATGTTTCCTTGACATCAGCCTCTTGATTGCTCCTGGAAGGGAGAAAACCCAGTAGAAAGCTCCAGCAGTGGGAGGCCTACCTCAGATGGAAACCAGAAGACCTAAGAGAGGGAGAGAGAAACTTTAATAGTGAGCCCCAGCCCATATCACTCAAACATGGAGGAGGAAGGTCAGAGAAGAAAGCAGCTTCAATGTCCAAAGCTCTCAGAAATCCTCACAAGCAAGACCTTTAAGTGAAAAGTAAAAAGGCAGATTAAAGCAGTAGGTGAGTAATCCCACCCCAATTAATTGTCCTCCTCCAGAAAGAGAAGTCCAGGTCTAAATGAGAAACCCAGTATCAAGTGAGATGGAGGTACATAAAACCCAGCTTCTTTGGGCTTCTTCCTCTCCATCTATAAAAGGCAGGTGGAGCCCCAGCAGCTAAAAGTAACAGATACTTGCCATCTACCAACATTTCAGCAGGAGTGTCTCCCTGACCTTCTGCAATCTAGGCTCAGATGCCATCAGCCATGTAAGCAAATAAAAGGTAAAAATAGATTATGATGGTTAGTGTCCAAATTCCTTGCCATCAGTAGCAAGTGTCTAGTGAATAGAGATTCATTTTAAGATTCAGTAGAGAAACCAGGGCTGGGAGAGACACCATGTATATCAGTCTCTCCTTCTCCCCCAGCTGCAGAATAGATGCTGTCATTTGCCTGATGGATCAACTACGAGGTTAGAACAAAGTCCACAATTTGACTGGAGCCTGTGCAGCCCATGTGACAAAGGGAACCAAAGGTAGCTGGGAGGATGGACTGTCTGTGACAATCTGTGCATACTGGAGAGAATTTTTCAAAAGTCATAAAAGCAAATCTAGAAGACTTGTATGTTATAAATGTCATTTCTTCTCAAAGTAAGCCAAACTCGGAGCCTGAGGAATAAAGGGAGAGAGAGAGGAGTCGCTCTTTCTTTCCCGCCGGTGCTGGCTTTAGCACACCATCAGGGAAGTAGGGACATTCTAGGACCATGGTGGACTGAGGTGAATCACACTCTTCCTCAATCCCCACATCTCCTTTTTCCATCTCCGTCACAACTGGTTTTGGGTAAATTCTGATTAAAGGGAGTAGGACAGCCAACCCTGTGAGGGGAAAAGAAGTCCCCAGTGGTGAGCAACAAGCAATTTGAGATTGAACAACAAATGACAGCAGGATGGGAGGTCTGCAGCCCCATCTCCCCAGTATTGGCCACATTTGTGGGGATGAAGGAAGAAAAAACTTACAGACTAATTGTTGATAAGACTCTGGTCTCTGGGGTTTCCTGAATTAACTGGCAATGAAGCAACCTCCATCTTCTTTGATGGATATCATCAGTCCACAGTCTTTTAGTAAATAAAGTATCAAGACTCTCCTCCAAATTTCAGGTCAGAAACAACTTGTAGATTTCCCCCTGATAGCACAGGGCTAGGGGGCCCCACCTACATGCACACACAGGCAACACATGGTCTCATCTGGTAGAGAAGTCCAACTCACCAATAGAAGTCAGTCTTCCATCCCCAAAGCCCCAACCCACCAATTCCCCATCCCCTCCTCTTTTAAACTCTACCCACAGAGATCCTATATAGCAGGTGCTGCTGCCAGGGAATCTGGAAGGCAGGCAAAGGGTAGAGATGGCCAGGGTATGAGGGAGCATGACTTTGCACTGCTGGTAGAATGTCCTCACCCCCTTCTCATCCTTGACTAGAACTTCTTCAGCTGCCTAAAAGGAAAATCAAAGGTATGAATCTGCCCATTCAGTTTACCTCTTCCCTGGTCTTGGCCAGCCTTTTCAGAAAGACCACACAAGGTGAATGACGCATGGTCTGAAGAGGCATATGACAAGCAAGTGGACCCAGAGAGCAGTGTTTAAATGACATAATCCAGGGTGACCTATGAGGGCATAAGAGAAACTGGTTCAGGGTGCCCCGAAAATTCCTAGGGATTCTCCAAGCCAGGTAAAACATCCAGAGATATATGAAAATTAACATATCATTACTTTTATCATTTCCCTTATATAGCATTTATTTACCACTTACCATGTCAAGTACTGATCTATGTTTTTTACAATAGTTCTCTTTAATCCTTGCAACAACCTTAAAAGGTATATTCTATACTGATCCTATTTTTTTTCATAGGGAGAAACTGAATGTGGAGAGTTAACCAGCTTGTCTGATAATCCAGTTATTATGTGATAGAGCCAAGATTCTCAACATTAGGCTAAACTGCTCTTCTAACTTCTTCCTAAAGAAAACAGGTACAGAATCTATCTAGAGGAAAAACAGTGCTTCCATACCTCACCTGAGAAATCAGTGTGCCCTGCTGTTATAGTCATTGACAATCTCTGTTTCAGTGGCACAGTCAGGGTAAGACAGACCAGGGATTGGAAAAAGCTGACTGATGTTATATCTTCAAGCAAAAATTCCCAAATGGTAATGATCCATTGAGAAGGATAAGCCAAATTTCTCTTGTGAAACAGCCAAGCTCCAGCCCTTCCAGGACACCTGCTGTCCACCTGTTTTTGCTTTGGGCTCAGGGCTCAAACACAGAAACATGACAGAAGGCTCCTCGAGGTACCAAGACACTCTATGGATGCAGGAGAAAAAAATAAAATAAAAGCAAGTGTGTCTGGAAGGGGTGGGGTGTAAAATGGATCTTTATTTTAAGCAAATTATACAGAAAAGACACATGGAATGTGGTCCAACAAACTTTACCTGCATCATGTAAAGCCTTTTGGAATCAAACTGCCTCTCTTTTCTAGGAAGGGTGACCTTATCCCCAGTCAAACTCACAGCAGGAACTATCAGATAATGACATTTGGGTGATGGTGTCTCTCAAGACAGTGGGAAGCTTGGGTTAAGCAACTTCATCCTATCCCTGGAATAAAGTTGGTACGTGAATTTGAGGTTGACCAGTAGGTTACCCTGTTAGAACAGCATCCAACCCTGGGCTCTCTAAGAAATGGAGGTCACAGTTCTCTTCCCAAACTCAATTCTTCTAAAATCCAGCAAATTCTGGGGCTCTCCGTCTCCCAGGAAGTAAGAATATGAGGTCTAAAAGCCTAAGGGATTTTCTGGATCTTCCTTGTCATATGGGGTTTCCCCTAATCTCCAGTGCTCTGTCCCAGTGATGTCTCTCTGCAGTTCAGAACCACCAAAGAATGCCTGGAATTTACTTTCTCACTTTCTCTCTCTCTCTCTTTTCATAAAATCCATATGAAACCCAAATCACAATCATTTAGCCCAGGGGCCTTGGTTGCTTAGCTCTGTGCTTACCCAGAATAGTGAAGAAAAGACACAGTCAAAAAGGTTCAAAAAGCAGGCAGAGCCACAGGACAGAAAAGTTAAAATCCATGGGACATTTCCCACTCTTACTGCCCTGAGGGCTGACCATCCCAACACAGTTTGCAGCTGCCCGTCCCAGTCAGCAGAGGCAGTGATTTAAGGAGCGTTTTCATCCTCTTCATGATTGCCTGACAGCAGACTCTGCTTGTCTGACCTTAGACTAGAGCAGAGGCTGAGGAAATCCACTCACATATGAGGCATAGCCAGGAAAAAGGTCACTTCATTCTCCATATACAAAGCAGAAAGCCAGGATTGTGGAGGTCAGGTTCCACCCAGCGTCCACCCCACTTTCTAGTGGGGTCAGAACTCAGTGTTTGGCCTCAGAACTCAGGAGAGATTTGTTTCCAAATGGGAGCTCCTTCCTGCAGTTCACCCAGGAAAAGGGGGCCCATCCATCCTCCCAGACCCACCTGATTAGAGGCCAAAGTCGGCACTAACAGGACAGGGGATTCAAGGGTGGTGTGAGAAGAGGGTTGCTACTGGTATGAGAGAGGGAGCCGAGAGAAGCACCAGCCTCCCAGACGGCCACAGAAGGGGCAGGTCCACTCAATACAACTCCCCGCTCTGAGGTGGGAGTTGGGAAGAGGAGAAAAAGGGGAGAGAGAGAGGAGGAGGAGAGGCGGGAAGACAACTGCAGGTTTGGGGAAAAGGAACAGGAGAGAGACTGAAGGAAACAGGAACAGAGCGAGAACGAACGTAGACAAGACGTGTCACATCTTCTCCAAGCAAGACCGAGTGGAGACACATGCAAAGGCGCAGCATGAAGACAGCGTCTGAAGAGGAGCCTGACGCTTCCCAATGGCCCCAGCAGCTACCGCGCCCAGGGAGCTCTCAGCAAGCAGGAGTGAGCGGTGGCTCTTGCTGCCCAGCACCATCAAGGTCTAACTCCGAAGCTGCGGGAAGCACTTTATTCTCCTAGGCTGGGGATACTGGCCAGGCCCCAAGGAACCAAATCTCCCTCGTCGCTGCCCTTGGTTTCTGGGTTTGCCACAGCAGTGAGAGTATGATAGCTCAGCTCTCAGACCTGGTGCAGTGGGGACATTGTGGAGACAGGGATCAACAGCTGGGTGAGGGGAGTGGCAGTAACAATGGGGAATGAGGTCCAGGCATTTTCCAAGAGTGGAGTGAGAACTGGTCTTGGTGCTATCACCTCTCTGGGCATGACAGAGGGGTCATAACTAGGGTTCAGGGAGAGAGAGTAATGAAGGTGGAGGATGGTCCAGTCGCCATCCCCTGGAGCACCCACCCAGTAGGCCACAGGAGGCTCCTCATGAAGGAAGGCTCATAACTACTTCCTGACACCCTCCCTGCTCTCTCCAGTACTAATGGCTGCACTGTGGCAACCAACCAGCAGCAGACACGATCCCAGGGCCTCTTGGCTGCTACAATTTTATAGCCACAGATCATAAAGAAATGGCACAGCATCCCAGTCCTCCTTATGGGAGGCCACTCTTATGACTGAAGATTTATAGTTCTGAGTTTGGATAATCAGCCTCCCTTGACATCACTAGGTGGGCAAGGGATGCAGATGCTTCTCACCTAGAGAAACCAGGAGGCTCTCCTGACTCCACACTGCTTGTTCCCAGAAGTACAGCCAATGGAGTCCATGGAAAAAAGAAGTATCTTAGTCACCATGAGAGACAGTGAGTCTCAGGTGACCCTAAGCCTCTGTAAGGGACTCAATACCCCTCTAAAATGCCCAAGTTCCTAGATTTCCACCTGGGAGAATGCCAGAAGAGGACCAACCTCAGTGGAGAGCAGAGCGCAGTGCTTTACTGCTCAATTTCTTCCTGCCCAGGGGAAGCCTGTCCTCTCTCCCTGGGAAGATCCTCCCAAGACCCTAGAGCTGTGACCCAAGATCAGGAGTGACTACTACAGGGACCTTGGAAGCTATGTAAGCCTGAGGGCGAGGTCCACATCTCAGTCCTGTAACAACCAAGAATGAGCTATAGAGGGCAAGGAACATGGGAAGTGGTGACATTTCCCTGCCCTTGCCCTCACAGGACTACAGGTGACCTGGTCCTAAGGAAGACCCAGCTATTGAGGGAAGGAACTGGGCCACACCCCAACCCTGTGCTCCTTGAGAATATTAGTAAGATCCCAAGAAGACTGTGAGGGACCAGCAACCCGAGGGGAAGATCTGAGTCTCTGCAGAGGTCTAGGAAGGAAAGGGGTGGTGCTATGCCTGAGGGCAGAAGGGGGTCTGTTTCTGGATATGAGTGTGGCCCTGATGTTTCCAGAGGTGCAGAGATGCAAAGCAGATTTAGGCATTCTAGGCCCCTTGGGGTACATGCAGGGTCTCAGGGGGCTTCTGTGGGAGGCCCTGGGTGTGTTGGCAGCAGGGATCTGAGTGAGGAAAACTGCAGAGAGGCTCTGGGACAGGCTTGGCATGTGGGGTGGGAATCAGAAGCTGCAGCTAGGCGGTGCCCGAGCGTGGCCTGGTGAGGCTGTTGGAGCAGCATGATGTGGGGAACCCAGAAGCCGTGGGAACAGAGCAGCAGAGGCTGCCGCCCACAGAGGGGGTGAGGGGACATGGTTTGGATTCCCCTGTAAAGGAAGCGATGGCCCTGCCGAAGCCCCGTCCGCCTGTCCACCCCCCCGCCCCACCCCAGCCGCGGAGCTCCCTTACCTATTGAGCTGAGGAGAGGCTTGTCTCGACAACACTGCCCAGATAGCTGAGATCAATCAGAAACAAAGCAGTTATCAACACGGGCCGTGGGGGAACCACCCACGCACACCCAGAGGGGAGGAGGGGAGGAGCACAGGGGCCAGAGAACCACAAGCGAGGCCAGAGAATGGGGTGAGGGGAAGGAGAGGAGAGAGACAGAGAACCAGACGGCACGATGGACGAGGCAGATGGGCGCTGCACAAAGCACAGACAGGGCTGCGGCGCACAGCATCTCCTGCACAGACAGAGGCACGGGTCCCGTGGGCGCGCCACGCCTGGCATCCTAGCTAGAGCTCTCCTCCACCTTCTCCACCTGCCAGGAGCAGGGGGGAGTGGGAGGGGAGGCTGTACTTCCAGGTACCAGAGAGGGTGGGAGTGCATGGGGCAGGGGAAGGGCACTGGGCTCCCTCCTCTCCAACCGCCTCCCATCCTGCCTACCACCAGACCAGCCTCCTCTGGAACACTCTGCTCCCCTGCACAGGCGGCCACATCAAGAAAAGAGACCAAAGGACGGAACCAGAGAGAAAGAGAGAGTGGGAGGGAGGGCAGGAGGGACCGGGGGCACTACAGAGATGTGGTAAGCCCTTTGGAGCAAGTTGGGCCAACCCAAAGAAGATGGAGAAGGAAGAAAGACAGACAGAAAACCAGACTTGAGGAGGAAGGAAGGGGGAGGGGGAGGAGGAGGAGGAAGAGGAGGGCCAGGGAAGAAAGATGAGAGAAAGAGAGGCACAGACGGGCATCCAGGCTGACTCTGGTACCTGGAATACCAGCTGCTACAGTTTAGTGTGTGCCCTCTCAGGCAGGCTGGTCGCAGGAGCTTGTCTGTTTGTCTGTCTGTCTGCGGCTTCCTGCGAGGCACACAGGTTGGGGTAGGGTATGTGGCTCCGGGCACACAGTTCACAGGCCTGAGATTTTGCTCCCAGCCTCCAGGATGCGCCCCCTGGAGAGTCTGTGGGAGGGGCCCGGCGCTCTCTAGGCTGCTATGGGCAGGAGATTGGGAAGAGGAGCCCCAGGCCTGGTGGTCCAGGGAAATGAGGCTTCAGGGTCCTGCTTAGCAGGGAGGACAGCCCAGGGAAGGGAAGGAGGCTGGATACAAGGTCTCTGGGTAAACCCTGGAACCACCCCCAAAGCCAGGATCACGGGGATATGGAGAGCTCTCCACTCTAAGAGTAACTGAGGTGACCCCTCACTCGGACACACCACACCCTCCTCTCCTTGCCCACGTGTGTCCATTCCGCATCACCCTGGGGGCCTCCTGAGATCTCTGGGCTGGGTAGAGGAGATCCCTCATGCTCCTGGCAGGGTACCTGGGCAGGTAAGCCCCACCTTCAACCCCATGACCACACCCTGTCGATGCCAAGACCAGAACTCTCCCAAAGGGATGCTGCACCATGTCCAGACAAGCCCTGTCATTTGGGTTGATGGAAGGGGTGGAGGGCAGGTAAGGAATGGGGAGTGGAAGATGACCAGGTGGAGGTGGGCAGGAGAAACCAGCTCACACTCACCCTGAAGTAGGTAATGGCGGTGGGGGGGGCTCTGGTCTGAGCAGCTCCTCCCCCATCCTTCGAGGGGAAGGCGTCTGTCCAAACACATCCAGGTTGTCCGCAGGCCCTGCAGGGCCTGGCGGAGGGGAGGGGTAGCCTGTGGCCAGAGTGGTGAAGCCCATGGTGGGCCGGTAGCTGGGGCTCCCGCTGCGGCTGCTCTGGGAAGGGGAGCCGGTGGATGGCGTGGACTTGCGAGAGAAGCTGACAGCGGCTGGTGGCTGCAGGGTGATCTCCGACATTTCTGCCTGCTGCAGGAGGCCCGGGCGGGGCCGGGCCCGGGCGGCAAGCTCAGGGGAGCCGGTGCGGGAGCTCAGGGGACTTTGGGTCAGAGGCGAGAGCCGGGAGGGCTGTAGCACCACTTGATGTAAACTGGGCTCGGCGCGCCTGGCCTGCCGGGGGCTGGGCCGGGGCCGGGGCTGGGGCTCGTACCACCGGGTGTCCAGGCCAAATGTGCTGGGGCCGCTGTGCCCCCCCGGCTCAGCCGGCTCGGGGTAAGGCAACACGGGTATGCCCATACCTTGGCTGGTATGTCTTAGCTGCCCTTGGCTCACCAGAGGTTGCATAGGTCTGTCCTGCCACTTAGCGGAGGCCGGTGCTGGGACGGGGCCTCTGCCCGGCGACTTGCCTGCCCAGCCCTTGGGCGCCTCCAGAGACAGGATGCCCGGGTAGGCCGCGGGCACCTGCAGGGAGGTGGGGGGCAGTCCTCGAGGGAGGCAAGCCTTGGGCTGCAGACTCTCGGCTACGTCACAGGGGTGCAGCTGGTGGGGAAACATCATGGCCGGGGTTTCCAGTCCCCCAAAGGGGAATTCTGGCCGACCCCAGGGCTCAGGGGAGCGCCCTCCCGTGGGTGTCTGAGTCAAGGGCAGCGTGCTGTTGGAAGCGTTCTCTCCGTTTTCCTCAGGAATGGTGGGGTGGCCAAAAGGCCCCTCAGTATGCAGGGGTGGGGAGGACATGACAGAGCTCAAGGGGCTGCCCACTTCTGGCATGTAGAAGGGCGGTGGCTCCACCTCCCCAGGGCTGCTGCTGCTGAGGTACCCATAATACTGGCCATGGTGAAAGGGCCGGGGGGCGGGAGGTCTGGCTTGGCCTGTGGCCTGGAGCCGACCTTCCAGGCCGCCGGGGCCCTCCAGCCCACGGGGCTGGAACCGAGGGCTGTATGCTGGTGGTGGCAGGTAGGACTCCTGGCTGGATGACAGAGGGGTCAGCTGGGACTTCAAGGCAGCCACAGATGTGGGCACCAGCGGGTCCTCGTTCTCCTCATCTGACTGGCGGAACTCAGGGTACATGTCCGTCTCCTCGGCAAAGGGAAAGCCCTCAATGCGCCTGCTCTTCATCGAGGGCTCCATCTCAGAGGGATCCATCACAAAGCGGCCATCAGGGCCTCTGCTGATGAGCTCAATGGGTGTCGTGGCCTCAGCCTCAGCCTCAGCCTTGGCCACGCTGTACTTCTTGCTGCTGATGGCCCTCTTGGTCTTCTTGTACAATGACAGCTCTTTCTCCCGGGTGGGACTCAGCATCCTCTTGGCTGCTGGCTGGCCTTGGTCATCAGAGGACTCCGATGGGGCCCGGAGAGTGCGGATGCTCTCAGGGCTCACCTTGCCAGATGACAGGCTGTGGGGGTGAGTGAAGGAGCCGGAGTGTGAGGCAGGGCACACCTGCTCCTGTACTTCTTTTTCTTCTCTTAACAAACAACCACAAACACCTAAGATAATACTAAGGAAAAGGGGTGCAGATGGGCTGCATATTTTGGCATGAAATACCTTGGCCAACTCTCCACTGTCTAAATGTGTGCTGGCCATTTTTTGAATGAACACCCACATTTCTACTTTCATTCTGCCCTGCCCTTACTGTCTGCCACACTCTGTCTAGTCACCTTCATTTCCAGGGTGTTCAAGCAATGCAAGCCCATCTTAATATTAACTTAAGCAAAACACATTATGAACGCAAATCTATTAGGATGAAAAAAAATAACAAACACATTCCAAAGCTAAGGAGATTATCTGCTAATTTGGACTGTCCACTCTACTGCTCCCTCTGTTAATGTGGACAACTTAAAATTACCGTGCAGATCAGTTAACAGCAAACAATTTGGAAACACTTGTCTTGGGGCTGAGTGAGACAAACCACCTGCCTGTCTCCACCCTCAACCCTCTGCCCATACACCACAACAGCAGGGGCACTTACGGAGACTCCAAGCTCTTTCTGCAGTGAGTGATGGAGAGTGGAGGATCTGGAAGGAAAAAGAAGGGGAAGAGACCCTACTGAGGCCAGGGATACAAAATTTATCTCAGGTGTCCTCAGGGGCTGGAGCAAAGCCACATAGGACAGCAAGCCCTTCCAATGTTAGGCATCTTTGGGTCCAGTCCAGAGTCCTGTGCCCACCACTACACCTGCCTTCTCTCTCATTCTGGCCCCAGCACACCCTCCCCAGCATCCTTCTTCCTTACTCCCTCTTCCAGATCAAGTCCTGCTGGTAGTTCTACCCATAAGATTCCAATTTCCCTTATTTTCGAGGGAGACCATGCTAAAAGTGGACCTTCTCTCCCAATGGGGAGCATTTGAAACTGAGCCAGGTAGAGCAGGGTGGTGGGGGCAAACACCCACCTTTTTTGCGCTTGAGCTTACGCTTGCGCTGCTTGTTGACAAAGCAGGCGGCCAGGGTGCTGAACAGGATGGCAGCTGCCAAGAAGCAGATGGTAGCTACAATTCCAGCCAACACAGGCCGAGCTAGCCCGTCATCGGTCAGGTCCGGCTGTGGGAAGATGTCTGCAGGGAGGGGCGAGGAACACACATGACTCCCTACCTCCCTCCCATAACAGCCCCCACCTACACTGACAAGTAGCTCCCAAGTATTTTTCCCTACCTCTGTAGAACAGACAATGTTAAAGCTCAGGCTCCATGTTCAACTCTAGCACTTGAAGAGGTTTGTATAGATGGGGAAGAGACAGAAAAGACTAGTTTATGGAAGTCAAGTGATACCTACAGAGCTTGTAAAGAAGAAATCACATCTATACCTTACCCCATAAGGGTAATAATTTCAATAATAATCTATAGTTGGCTACTGCTGTTTGCAAAGGGCTCTCATGCATATTACCTGATACCCTCAAATGAGACAGAGCACATGCTATTGCTCTCATTTTCTAAGGTAAAGAAACTGTCATGGCAGAGTTTGAGCAACTTGCTTACATAGATACTACAGATCAGTGCCCAAACCACAACACTGCTACTCTGACCTCCTGTTGGTATTTTCTGCCTTCTGCTATGTCATCTTAACAAAATGAGAGTGTAGATGTGAAGGTACCTTGAGGGAAAAATGCTATAGCAGGGAGAAGAGTTTGTGACCACAGAATTCAGATCTGTCTATTTCTAAGTCATTATAGCACAACTAAGCAACTTCTACAGGGAAGGTTAGCACGTCCTGGTCATCTCAAGTTCAGAATACTGGAGCTAGCACAGACATTCAACACAGGTCCCACTTCATTTTACAGGTAAAGAAGTGAGTTTCACTTTGTGCCCAAATCCACACAGCTTGTTAGTGAAGCCAGGACTAGACCCCATCTATTGTACCCTACTTCAAAGTCAGTTATAACAGTAAGTGCCACTTTTTAGGTTCTGTGCAGTCTGATATATTTGGCTGGAACCCATTGTTATGGTGATATAACGATGGATGAAAATAACCCAAATCACACTGATGAGTTGAGTTGGCAAATGAATGCTACAGTTTTTGGGAATGGGGGGCTTAAAGATGGGGGGAGGGGAGCTGAGGTTGCTGCACCTTCATTCACTCATGGGGAATCTTCCCTGTACACAGAATAGTTCACTGATGAAAACCTTCACATCTTCTATCCTGCAAACTCGGTTCCCTGTTCCTCTGGGTCTCTTCTCTAGAGGGAAGCCACGACAGAGGTATGTGTCTATAGCAGGACTTTTGTAAGAAAGAAAGCAAGAGAAAGAAAAAGAAAGAAAGAAGAAAGAAAGAAAGAAAGAAAGAAAGAAAGAAAGAAAGAAAGAAAGAAAGAAAGAAAGGTAGGAAGGAAGGAAAGGAAGAAAGAAAGAAAGGTCCATGGTGCCTAGCATGATGCAGAAGTCACACCCCACTGCCCCAGGGCTCTGGTGCCACTTCAGTCTTTCCTTCTCCTCCCCCAAGTCTGCCTACTCTGGTGCTTCTATAGCTCTGTGAGTACTACTGCATGAGCTTCTTGGCCAAGCTCTGAGCCAACTGGTCCCAGAGGTCTTTGTGTGAGCAGTGCCCATGGAAATGGTGCCATTGCTTGATCACTAAGCAAAAGCCTCTTCCCAGACCTAGGGAGCCACTTCACTGGGCAAGGGAGGGGTTCTTCTGTGTTCAGGCAGGAACTGTAGCAGAGAAAGATGTGTATAAATGGGACCAGGGCCAAGAGAAAGAAAGATAAATGGGGAAAATGCTAGGGAGTTGGCTGTATTTAGCCTGAAAAAAAATCTAGGGAGACGAAGGGGTAGAGGGAAACAACACCAAACAGTAATTTTCCAAATAAAACCACCATAATTATAAAGCAGTCTTATAATAGGCACTCAATAAATACGTGCTGACCTGTTGTCTCTCCAGTTCACTGCCCCAGCCCATTACAGAGGACAACACTGGAGGAAACAGGGATTTTATAGCAAAAGAACTTAAGTCAAGTTATTTTTGACAACTATAATGAGATTAGCGACATTTCTTTCTGCAGCTATCTTTTAGAAAGTGTCATAAACGCAGCTCTTTAGTTGGAGAAATCCTGTCCATCATGGATGCAGAAGAATGGGTCGGAGGGCCTTAAGAAACACTACAACTCACAGCTTCAACCAGAGCTCTCCGTTGTTTCCAATTCAGTCTTCTTTCCTCATTTTAGCTATCTCACTGGGGGATTCCCACGTGGCTTTTACCCCCCACAGTTGTAAGAGAACCCCCCAGCCCAAGTACCTGTGCTGGAGACACCGGCAATGTTGCTGGGCTCACTGATCAGATCCTGCATGACGGCCAGAACCCGGAACTCGTACCAGGTGTCCTACAGTCCCAGGGATAATAGCCTGTCAGCCCAGAAATCTGAGACAGACACTGACCCACCACTACACCCACCCTGCAATGACCTTTCATGGAATGGGGTACCCAAAGCAGTGGCATACTGCAAGTGTTGAACAACCAGCTCTCAGGTTAAAAGAAAAAAGTCCTGATTTGAAAAACGCACTTGCCAATTTCCATGATAAAAATACTCCTACCATGGCAGATTTCAATCTACAAAAGTGAGGGCACTGAAAGCAGAGTTGGAAAGAGATGCTCACACAGGCTCTCAGGAGCCCCAATGCTATCATTAAATGAGTGTCCAGGGAAGGAAGACAGAAAGATAGATGAGGCTATCTATATCCATGTAATAATAAGCTGTTTCCTCTCTCCAGCTAGAGAGACATAAAAGTTTAAAGCGGAGGGTCAGCTGGAATATATATATATATATATATGTATGTATATTCCTCTAGGGACTCTAAATTGTTAAAGCAGGGGTCCTTCCCTGGGCAAAGCTAGAAGACAATCCTTCTGGGAAATCCTTCACCCAGCCCAAGTTAGACCCCTAGCAGGGACCTGAGGTCACTGTCTATTTACACAATCTGGGCTCCTAACCTGCTCCGCCTGGCTCCAGCTTATGTCTGTATGTGGAAAAAGCCCTCAAGGCAATAAAAGTCACCACTGCCAAACACTGGTCCTGAGTCTGTAGGACCCCAGTTGCCATGATCTACGGATCCCAGACCTCGGTAGCAGATCTGAGAATAAAGGAATCACGGTGTGGGGCAGCACATGGCTCAGCCTTGTACACCTTGTACACCTTGTACACCTGACTTGTACACCTCACTCAAAGCGTTCAGTGACTCCAGAGAGTCATGACACTTCCAGAATTTGGGAACAGCAGCAAGGAAAGGCTGGACACCTCACCTGTGACAGATCCTTGGCAAAGAAGTCTCCATCAGTGCCCGGGATGGCACCATCTAACGTCTCCCAGTGTTCCCCGACACGAAATTCCATGATGTAGCGGTCAATGGGAAAGCTGTGATTGGCAGGGGGTAACCAAGACAGGAGCACACCCTGCTGGGTCCGATTGGCTGTGAGGCACCTCGGTGGGGTAACCAGCACCAGGGGTTCTGGAGTTGTGATAGGGAATGCTGTGGCACAGAGGGGAGAGAGGGAAAGTATGTGGCGATGCCGAGATCATTGTACCCTCACCTCTCTAAAGTGCCTTCTGGCTCAGCATGTGTCTCTAGGGCACTGTGGCCCCAAGGCAATGGTCACTTTGCCATGCAGGAGTCATTTCAGAGACAAGAGTGTCACACAAAAGAGCCCTCCTCACCCAAGGGAAGTGGCCCACAGCCACAAGAACCTATTTTCTCAGCATTTCTAAAAACATAGATGAGGGAATGAAGTGTCTCAAATGGAAAAAAAAAAAAAA